CACAAGTTAAATTATTTTCAGCTTGCTCTTTTGAAGGACAGCCTTACGATGATTTGACTTTTGATTTTTCGACTTTATGATGGTGAGAAAGCCATAGGCATTCAGCAGAAACCATACCTCAAATTTTGAATTTTTATCTTCTCCCGGGCTAGTGATATGTGGTAGGATACTCTCTCGTGGTGCTGGGCAGTGGCAGCGAGCCACAGCTCCCAGCCAGCTACACCATCACGAGGGTACACAGCTGACACACTTACAACCATTCTGTGCCCATCCAACCATTCTGTTTTTCACTTTCAGTACAGTATTCAGTAAATTATATGAGATATTCAACACTTTACTATAAAATATGCTTTGTGTTAGAGGTTTTTGCCCAACTGTAGGCTAAGGTAAGTGTTCTGAGCACATTTAAGGTAGGCTAGGCTAAGCTATGATGTTCAGTAGGTTAGGCGTATTAAATGCGTTTTCGATTTACGATATTTTCAACTTATGATGGGTTTATAGGGATGTAACTCCATTGTAAGCTGAGGAAGATCTGTATTTCAAGTTTACATGTGTGTAGTTTTCAAAAGTTTTCACATATATTACCTCATTCCATCTTCACATAAATTCTCTAGAGTGTTTATTTTTAGCTCAGTGTAATGGAGGAGGGAACTGAGGCTGCAGAGAGGGAAAAGATTTATCCAAGATCATAAAGCTACTTAGTAGCAGGGCCAGTGGTAGAGCCTGGGTCTTCTGCTTTCAAGACCTGGGTCCTGTCCCCTATAGTACCATGTAGGTGAATAGTGTCTTTACATCAGTTTTGATGGCCATTTCTCCCCAAATAGAGCAATCAATGTTTCGAAGCAGATGGTCAAAGCACACTCACACCAATGGACAAATTGTGTGGAAAGCAATTTGGAAACATAAAACAATTTTAAAAATAGGTAGCCCACTCCTGAGATTAACAAAAGGCAATAATGTAAGCAAATTAAAAGCTATATGCACCAAATTAGTTATTATAACATTATTTATGACATGAAAAAAAGAAAGAGAGAGGGGACCAAGGAAGGAAGAAAAACAGAAAAACAAGCTAATTTCTATCAAAAGAAAGATGACAGTAAATCATGTTTCATCAAATTGGTGAATAGTTATACTGTTAAGATCATTATGGAGACTAAAAACAACATGGAAAAAGTTCAAACTGATTTTAGCAGGGAAATATATTTGGAAAAGCTGGAAGGGAACACAGAAATATGAAAACAGCTTACTATGATTGTGGAGTTTTAAAATAAATTTTCTGGGCCAGCCTGGTGACTTAGCGGTTAAGTGCGCGTGCTCTGCTACTGGCGGCCCAGGTTTGAATCCCGGGCGCACACCTACGCACCGCTTCTCTGGCCATGCTGAGGCCGTGTCCCACATACAGCAACTAGAAGGATGTGCAACTATGACATACAACTATCTAGTGGTGCTTTGGGGAAGAAAAAAAGGAGGAGGATTGGCAATAGATGTTGGCTCAGAGCCGGTCTTCCTCAGCAAAAAGAGGAGGATTAGCACGGATGTTAGCTCAGGGCTGATCTCCCTCACAAAAAATTAAAATAAAATAAAATAAAATAAAATAATAAAATAAAATAAAATAAATTTTCTTTAACAGTTTTTATTTAATACTTTATAAAATCGCCTTAACAATAACTGTTTATAGTTCATATGAAGATATTGCAGCCAAAAGTGACTAAAATCATGCACAGATTTGGAAATTTAACTTTTGACAGATGATTGGAGGTTCCTTAAATACAGACACGTATGATGTGCTGGGTTTATTCTTCTGTCTGCAACCCATGCCTCCCACAGCACTCCCTTCCACCAGTGTCCCGCCATGTCTTCCTGACCTCGAACCCCTTCTTCATCTTTGTTTCTAAAGTTATGCCAGACGTCTTATTTGCTTCCTATCATGCACAGAACTTATCTGAGTCTGGACTTCCAGGAGCATCAAAGAAAGCTGCTCCATGAGATTAGAGGAGGGAACAGCATGAGATATTACGCCCTGGCTGTCTCTGACATGAGGCCCTGATAGCTGGCTGAAAAAGGAAAAGCTGCTGACTTCCCCTTTAAGTTACCGAATCTAAAGAACAAAGGTTGAAGCTCCCTTAAATCAATCATTCCAAAGGGAGATGGCCTTGTACAAGATAGAGCGTAACCTTGGAAAATCGCAGAATGACTGTTGTGCAAGATTGCAGGGCCCAGGTTACACTCTCCTACCAATCCCGTTTTAGTTTTCCCAGCAGACCTCCTTTACAAGTGTCAAACTAAAGGACACCACATAGATATCCGTGTTTCATGAAGATTTCTGTCAAATTCACTATCTTGGAGCAATACATTTTACCTTGTTACTTGGCAAACAGAGTCAAATTATAACCATATGTGCTGTACAAAGAACCTCCCCACATTCTCTACCTGAGAATGGAGAGGCGGTCTTCAGCCCAGAGCAAAGATAACCCTAGATACCTTGATAGCCTAGGCAAATAGCAGCAAATGTGAAAGAGACACTGGGGAACCCGAAGGTCACCTTGGGGCTTGACAACACATGCATATAAATACATTCAGAAAGCTTGCTTGGAAAGGTATTGCAAAGGTACCTGTCAGTTGTCTTCTAAGCTCTCCTATTTGTCATTAAAATGCTGACGTAACCAAGATTTTATCACAGTTTAGGTCATCTTTCATATAATCATTGAAATATGCAATAGAACATCTATTTTAAAGAAACTCTGTCCTCCTCTTTTTTTCTATTAGGACTGATTAATTCCTATTAGGACTGGTTCAATAAATTTATACTGATTCCATCTCACTCTCCCTTTAGTGTCTCATGGCATATTTTTGCAAGGCAGCTAGTTTATGGCTTGGCATCTTATACGTGTTCAGTGTGTTACAGTTTACACATCAGGGTTGTACGACAGCCCTGAAGAGACATACTGAGCACTGGAGCTTTTACGGATGAAAGCACTGAGGCTACCAAAGGATTAAGTGACCAGTTAGAAAGCAAAGAGTGTCCCCTTTGAATTCTTGTAATGCATGATTGCTTTTGTTTCAAATCAGAAAAAAAGCAGTTCTCAAGACTCTCCATTGTGATTCCAGCCCCAGAAAAGCCCAGAAAGAGTGGCTGAGACCACTAAAGGCGGAGTCAGTCCCTGACTCCTCTGTGATTTCTTCCAGAAGCTGGAACCTCAGCTTGAAGGCAAGGGAGGAGGCTACAGCCTAAACACTTCTCTAAAAGGAGAGCATTCTTAAGTATCTTTGGGAACATTTGGATGCTAAATGGTTCCAGGATCTTCCAATGAAAATTGAGCAAAGACAAGTAGACAGAGGTAATGCCTCCCGTTATCTACTCCTTCAGAAAATCTTTCAGGGAATGATTTAAATTAGCTATTCTTCCATAAAGCAAGGAGACATCAGCTGTGGAATCCTCACCTCTTACATTAACGCCTACCTTTCCCCATCCTAACAGGATTTATGGGACATTTTTGATGTCCACAGGGTCTATTAGGTTTGAACCATCGCTCATATTTGATTGTTTTTGACCTACAAAAAGGCACTTTCAGATAATTCAGCCCAATATAAGACATCTCTAATGAGCAAAAGAAAAGCTAAGGAGCAAAACTGAAAGCAGACTTTGTGGGTTAAAAATAGTAAAGGTTTGTGCATTTGTTTTAGAAACACCCAAATAGAAGAGAAATTGGAAGACCTGGGAAGAGACGACAAGAGGCAAGCAAGTCAGGTGCTGGGGGGAAGAGGGGTAGCTGTGACACAGACAAAGATTGATTCTATGGCTGGCTGTGACAGAGCAGTGGCCTTGGGCATTTATCTAGCCTCAAATCCTTAACTGGAGTCCTTAATGTTGACGACTCCTTCTAATATAGCTCGTGGCCCTTTACTGAACCATGCTTTCTGGCTTTAGTTATTTTTTCATTTAATACCTTATTTTATGCCGATTTATATGTTTCTTTCTCACACATGTTAGTCTTATTTTCCCAATAAGATTATTGGCTCCTGAGGGCAAGTTCCTGTGCCATTTATTTAGCCTCCTCAAGGCAGGGCAAGCCAGGAGTTGAGTAAGTGCTCAGTAAGTACCTATTAAATAGAACAGGATCATGAAGCTGTTATAAGAGAGCTCATCCGGAAATGTAAACTAGGGGAGGACCAATAATAATAACATCCATCTTTAGGCAGTACGCCTAGGTGCTCTATTTATGCTACATATTTAAAATATACATTAGCTCTACATCTAACAACTTTACAAAGGGTATTATTATTGTTAACGTCATTTTACAGCTGAGGATTTCAGAAAGGTTAAGTAACTTGTCTAAGGCCCCGCAGTAAGCACCTGAACTTCAAGCCCAAGTGTGCTGACCCCTAAGCTCACATTCTTTCCGCTGGTTTTCTGCTTTGTGCAGTGCCTGCCGCCCTTTTATGATGATAGTAATAATAGCTAAGGATTATGAAGAGGTTACTCTGTGCCAGGCACTGTTCTAAGGCCCTTTACATACGTTAATTCATTCAAGCCTCACAACAAGCCTAGGAGGTGGGCTCTATCATTATCCATTTACAGAATTGAGAGCCTGCATTATCCTGGACTTTTAAGTTAGGGCCTAAAGGAGGTTTTGTGAAACAATGAAAGATCACTGCTCTGTGTCTTTTTATATAAAGGAAGAAACTCTATAATCGACATAGTGTCTCACCTGCACCCAGCCCCAAGAGGGCCCGGGAAGGGAGCCAGGGAAAGGAGAAGTAAGATGGAGCTAGGACTAGGGCTCTCTGCCTGCCCCTTGGCAATCCTATAGGAGAGGCTTTAGCTTGGAAGCACAGGAGAAGTGGACAGAAAGCAGACTTTGAGGTCATCAGGGCTCCCTGGCAGCTTTCCCTTGCATCCCCCTATCCTTCATTCATTTGTCCGCGAAAAGACCTTCCCCCAGCCAAGTGACAATCCCTGTGAGTAAGGACAATAAAGATTAATAATATTTTCTTCTTAGGCTCATTCGAAAGTTTGGCATAACTACAACATAAATTTCCGCCCACATCAGAAGGGTTGGTTATCGATCACGTTGGGATCCCACTGGATTGAACCAAACAGATCAGAAAACACGATGGATATACTCAAGTGCCAACAATCCATGGTTTCTGTGCTTGGGTGGTTTGCCGACCCCATCCATGGGGATGGCGACTATCCAGAGGTGATGAAAAAGAAGTTGCTCTCCATTCTACCCCTTTTCTCTGAAGCAGAGAAGAATGAGGTGAGGGGCACAGCTGATTTCTTTGCTTTTTCCTTTGGACCCAACAATTTCAAGCCCCAGAACACCATGGCTAAAATGGGACAAAATGTGTCACTCAATTTAAGAGAAGTGCTAAACTGGATTAAACTGGAATACGGCAACCCCCAAATCTTGATTGCTGAGAATGGCTGGTTCACGGACAGTCACGTGAAAACAGAAGATACCACAGCCATCTACATGATGAAGAATTTCCTCAACCAAGTTCTTCAAGGTTGGTTGCACATTAGCTCAGTTTTTAAAAACTTTTTGAATACTTATCCCACAGGATATGTAAAGTCACTTTCGAATATATAATTATTCTTGTTGTTGGGCTTTCATATTGCCCAATGTTGACAGAATTTTTTAATGTTACTCTCACGTCCTTTTTAAGTAAAAGTTTGAGAAAAAAATTTATGCTGTAGATACATCCTTAATTGGCAGCAAGATGCTGTTCCATTCTTTTAAAAAGGACGTAATGGTGAAAGAGATATGTCCAAAGTTTTCTAACAGTAGTACTTTAGTCTAAGATGCTGAAAGCTTTTCTTGAAATGGTGTTCCTCTTACTCTATTACATGACTAAGTGATGCAAACGTCTGAAGACAAAGAATGAGCCATGAACAGCAAAGCTGAGTAATTTCTATTGCTCCTAGATATTTCTTTGACCCCTTCTTATCTTCTCATTCTTTTTCCATTACTCAAGTAGTGACATCTACAGGTGGCTAATTGAAATAATGAAGCAGAAGACAAGCTCGAATTATGATGGTTCAGTCCCTTACAGAATTGGGCTCCATTTCACTCAAATATAAAGAAATTCTCAGCGAATCTTTCTAAACGTCTGTAGCTCTTTTTTAGAAGTCACAAGACTGGAGGAAAATCCCAGGTTCTGCAGGAGAGTCTTCAGGGAGGGTCCTCAGGGAGAGCAAGACCCTGCTGCCCCAACCTGCAGGAAGGAGCAGCATGGAACAGAGCCATGCCCAGCCACGGCACACGCACATGGGGGACTTCAGAGCTCAGGACTCTGTCTGCAGGGCCTGGGCCAAACGCCATGCACTTGGGCAGAAGGGGTGTCATTCCCCAGATGTTACCATTCCACCTCTCCTCAGGACCCTGCAACACCAAAGGGGACTAGAACCAGGGCCTGTTGAAACATATTTATCTCACTGGAATCTCTTGGCACGGATTTTCTACCCTTTAGGAAAAGAATGTCAGTGATAAAACCCCCAAAATGCAGAAATGAGGCATTTCGATGAGCGAAATGAAAGCTTATAAGAAAAGAAAAATGGTTCCTGGTTGATTTGGGTGTTTGCTTTTATTGCTGCTGTTGATTTCCATATTTCGTTTTTACCCAATTCCTAAAAGTTAACGAACTAGAGTTTTAAAGTTCGAAAGGTCCTGAGAGATCATCTTTTCCAATCTTTTCTGTTTACAAATGAGGAAACTGAGGTCAAGAAACTTGCCCAATATCACCCTCCCAGGAGCATAGTAGAGCAAGAGCGAGCCCTCCCACCTCCTGCCCCTCGGCCCAGTCAGGTCTTGTTCTCTCACATCACCGTACTTCATTCTCCTCCTTATATCTACATTCATTTATGTTAATTCTCAAAGCTGATTTTTCAGTCTCTTAAGGATAGTTTCATAGAATGGATAGGTTGTTCACAAATCAGAACCAACCCAAGCTTGAAATGAGAAACTCTTGGTCACAAGCAGAGATCTGCATTGGTCCCAAAGGGTTCTGGAAATTTCCATGCCTTCTGACACAGATTTGCACACTCTCAGGAATATTTTTAATTTGATCCTTTAACTGTGTCATTCACTTCTTGGCCGGGGGGGGGTCATTCTGGATGAAAATAACTGCAACTTTTCAAGCATAAACATGAATTTTGTATTTGATATAATCGGCCTGCAAAATAGGTAAAAGGTTGGTTTCACAACATGCTGTCCCTGGCACGTTGTTAGTGAAGTCGTAAACATGAACCAGAGTGTTTAGTCTTCCAAAATCTCTGCTTTTTTTTTTTCTCTGTGCAGCAATAAGGTTTGATGAAATACGAGTGTTTGGTTACACTGCCTGGTCTCTCCTGGATGGCTTTGAATGGCAGGATGCTTACACCACTCGCCGAGGATTATTTTATGTGGATTTTAATAGTAAACAAAAAGAAAGAAAGCCAAAGTCTTCAGCACATTACTATAAACAGATCATACAAGAAAATGGTTTTACTTTAAAAGAGTCCACACCAGATGTGCAGGGTCATTTTCCCTGTGACTTCTCCTGGGGTGTCACTGAATCTGTCCTTAAGGTAAGTGGCTACTTACAAAATTAACTATGAAGGGGGGCAAATAGTACACAATATTTTACTTCATTTACTCAATGACAGCTAAGAGAATGCTGTCAGACAATATCAAATATTATGATTACTGGGAGGTTAGGAAGGGAAGTTAAGGAAAGAGGAAAGAAGAGGAAGAGAAGAATTAATGCTTCCTGAGAGCGTTTCATGTGCCAGAATTCATGCTTGGTGATGGAGATGAAGAGGCTGCCCTCAAGGAGCATACAGTCTGAGGGAACTTACAGTCATTTTTGGGAGAGGAATTTGTCAGCAGTGTCAAAATTACAGGAAAAAAATTTTTTATAGATTTTTGTTTTGCCAAAAGCAAATTATTAGTGACCCTTTATTTAAGTGATTCCTGTTATTTGATAGATTTGGGTAATTTGCCTTATGAGGTCTCTGTATCCCAGTAGGGCCTTCCCACATGTCTCATTCCTCGCCTTCAGATATTTACTCAAATGTCACTTTCTCAATAAAGCTTCTCTCCACTCGAAAAAATCATGACCCCATCGCTATCACCTCTCATCCCCCTTTTCTGCTTTATTTTTCTACATAGCACTCATCATTATCTAACATACTACATACTTTTCACATTTTTCTTTTTTTTAATCCAGCTTATATTTTTTGAGCTATAATCGACATGCAACATTTTGCAAGCTTAAGGTATACAATGTGTTGATTTGATACATGTATATATTGCAAAATGATTAGCACTATAGCATTAGCTACTACCTCCATACCGTCACATAATTCCCATTTCTTTTTTGTGGCGAGAACATTTAAAATCTACTCTCAGCAACTTGCAATGATGCAATATAGTATTATTAGCTATAGTCACCATGATGTACATTAGGTCCCCAGAACTTGTTAATCTTATAACTGGAAGTTTGTACACTGACCAGGATCTCCCTATTTCCCCCACCTCCCAGCCCTTGGTAACCTCTTTACACATTTTTCTTATTTATCATCTGTCCTCCCCTACTAGAATGCAAACTCTCTCCACACGAGGGTGGAGATGTTTGAAGCTCTGCTGCTTGCTGTATGCCTTACTAGAGCAGTGTCAGGCATATGCAGGTGCTCAATCCATAGTGAATGAATAAAGTCAACTTTTAGAGCCAGGTGAGACTTTAGAGCCTCCCTATTCCAAATCCTTCATTTAATAAATGAAAGTGAGACCCGTCAATTGATAACTAAGACCTAAGTGACTTGCCCAAGGTAACACCAATAGTGGCAGAATTGTAACAGGCAACCCTTAAGCCCCCAGATGCACAGTGCTCTTTCCAAAATAATAATAACTATTTTTAAGCCATTATTATGTGCCAAGCATTTAATTGCTGTCTGTATGCAAATCCTGTCTACTTAATCTTAAAACCCTCATTTTACAGGCAAAGAAACTGAAGTTTAGAGAGGTTGCATAACTTGTCCAGTTACCCACATCTGTCTGTTTCCTGACCACTATGCTATAAGACCTCACAGTACCACACTATTGCCTGTGTTCTAGAAGCGTATGGAAAGACAACAAGATGTACAAGGGATGGGACCAGACAAAAGGGCTCAAACCATGAGTGGGCAAAGTTTACAGGCTATGAAATCTCAACCCTTGTCGATATTTAAACAGGACTTTAGTAAAGTCTCAGAGTTGATAATAGGGGGAAAAATACAGATAGTAATGTAAACACACTGACTTATCTTCAGCTTGTGGCCCCTACAGAGCCAGCAACTTACCCAGTTCCTATCTCCTCCTCCACATGGCATCGGCAGGCCATCTTTTCCCTACCACTTCAAGTGGGTTTATATTTTCCAGAATTCCAGAACCGGCAAAGAGAGATCCCAGGAGAGATAACAGTTCCTGCCTGTATGTGACCCAACCTGCAAGTTCCTTCTTCATCTGAAGTCCCATCTATTCCCCATTGATTGACACTGTGAATGTCTGCCCTATTTTGAGGACCCTACTCCTGCTCCTGGGAGCAAGAGCTCCTCACTTGGGTCAGGGGAAAGTAATTCTATAATCAACCGGGTCTGAGTTTCATGCTCACACCTGGAGCCCTGCAGGGAGTCAGCTTCCCTTGAATTTGGGCTAAGAGTGAGGATTAATTTTTTGCCAAAAAAAAATTAGGGTGCTTTTTGAAAAATAAGCCAGAGGATATATGAATAGATGTTGTAGAGGCAAAAAAACTAGATGTCTTCCATAGGAAGACTGACAAAATGAAAGTAACACTTTAAAAATATTACTATGCCTACCTACACACATCCCTATCTTATTTTCTCCCAGCCTCTTAGCATTCTTTTCTCCTCCAACATTTTGTTTTGAAAATTTTCAGGGGCCAGACCAGTGGTGTAGTGGTTAAGTTCACACGCTCTGCTTTGGCAGCCCTGTGTTTGCGGGTTCAGATCCCAGGCACAAACCTACACACTGCTCATCAAGCCATGCTGTGGTGGCGTCCCTCATACTAAATAGAGGAAGACTGGCACAGATGTTAGCTCATGGAAAATCTTCCTCACCAAAAAAAAAAAAGAAAAATTTCAAACTAGTACAATAAACACCTATATTTCCTTCATCAAGATGGAGCAATTGTTAATATGTTGCCACATTTGCTTTATTTGTCTCTCTTTTATGAACCATTGAAAAGTTGCAGACATCATTACACTTCACCCCAAAATATTTCAGCATGTGTCTCCTAAGAACAAGGACATTCTCCTATCTCATTATAATATTATCATACCCAGAAAATTTAATATTGATTCAATATCATGTAACATACAATCTATATTCAAACTTTCCTAAATGTTCCAGAAATGTCCTTTATAGATTAAAAGAAAATTTTGATCACAAACAAGGATCACACATTTGTTGTCATGTATTGTTAGCCTCCTTTAATTCAGAACAATCCCTCCAACCTCATGGTATTGACATTTTCGAAGAGTTCAGGCCAGTTATTTATCAGGCTTGCATCTCAGGATTTCTCTGATTTTTTCTTTATTCGATTCAGTTAACCATTTCTGGAAATAAAATTACATAGATGATGTTGCATATTTCCCAATACATCACATCAGGAGGCACATGATGTCAGTTTGTTTCATTACTGAAACTATTAGTTGAAGTAGCCACCAGATTTCTTGGTTAAGGTGGCATTTGCCAGATCTCTTAATTTAAAGGTACCTTTTCCATTTGTAATTAAAAATTAATCTGAGAGCCAGCCCTGATGGCCTAGTGGTTAAAGTTTCACGCACACAGCTTCTGTGGCCCGGATTCAGTTCCTGGATGCGGAACCACACCACTCATCTGTCAGTAGCCATGCTGTGGCAGTGGCTCACACTGAAGAACTAGAAGAAGTTACAACTATACACAACTATGTACTGGGGCTTTGCGGGGGGAAAAAGGAGGAAGATCAGCAACAGATGTTAGCTTAGGGCAAATCTTCCTCCGCCAAAAAAAAAAAAAAAATCTTTAAAAAAAAAAAAGAAGTAATCTCATGATGATACAGATGAGACTGTATAAATTTCCTATTCCCCAACAACATTTCACCCAATGGTCTTAACGTTGATTCCTAAACCTTGCCTGAATTATTACTTTGTAGATTACAAAATGGTGAATTTCTAACTAGATTATTCCTTCTACATTTGTTAGGTGATTCTTTTAAATTTAATGTTATAATTCATTGTTGTCATTGTTTCATTATGTGTTTGATGCTCAAATTATCTCAAATTTGGCCAGTGGGACTCCTTCAAGCTGCTTCTGTGTCTTTTTGACATTTCTCTTTCAGTTTTTAAGCACTTCCTTATTTTTATGGCACAAGATGTACCAGCATCACCTCATTCTTTTCCTGCCCCAGACCTGGAAAAAAGCCATTCCTCCAAGGAGCCCAGGATCCTTTTAGTGGGGAATAGAATTTTAGAACCAAGCTCTGGGAGCAAGGTACATTATCTTTAATAGATCTCTTAGCAAATTAATCACACCCACTTGCTAAGGTTAATGCTTTCTGGAGGTTTTTAAAAGTAAGAAAGCTGTTCATTTCATCCTGCCTTCCCTTATGGCAAGATTGCCCTTTGTAAACATCCTTTCAAAACCATGACGCTCTGCGGTTTCAAAACACTGAAACTGGCCATCTAAGCCAGGAGGATTTTACTCAAATAATTATATACAGATTTAACTTCATGCTCACCTGATCAATGTTCTTTCAGTTTAATGTTCTAGATAACTGGTTGGCAGATGGCAAGTGGGTAGTGATATGGTTTTGTAATTAGACGATGAAAGATGACACACGAGAAAACAATTAGAGGGAAAATATTTACCAAAGGTTAATTATCATTTTTCCCGGGTGCATTTAAATTCAGTCATGAAAAGAAAAAGTACTTTAAAACAAGGACAGAATTTTTACTTTCTCTTATTAATCTTGAATTTGGAAATGTTTTTCTTGAGCCCTTTCCTATTTTAATTTAGACTCAAGCAGGCAATTATTGCAACCAGGGAAAATTAAACCCGAGTCATGGCTACCTTATGTTTGTAGAGTGCTTTAGAGTTGACAGAGCACTTTTCCAGAGTCATTGACACCTCACAGCACACCTGTGAAGGGCGTGAGATTGTTCTGTCACTATATAGAGTTGCCAAGCCTAAGTTTCAAAAGGACAGAATTAGAACAGGAGCCCAGGGCTGTCTTCTTGGTGGAGGGGCAGGGAATGAGACACCATCAAATCCAGGAGTCAACTTGGGAATTTCTAGGAGGTATTTTACTGTCCTTTTCACTCATAATCCAAGTACCTTGCGTAAAGACTGTGTTCCGTACTCTCCCCCTGGGTACATAAATGATATGTTCTCACAGGCACACTGGTGGGGGAGAACATAATGATGCACATGTGATGTCACTTGGACTTTTCAAATAGGAGATGTTAGAGAGTTGCACTCAGCAAATGCAAGGGGTCTTTCCCTACCCCATCCCACTGGCCTCTTTTAGGAACTGTGGCTGCCTCCTCTAACCCCAAGCACTGGTCTCAGTGAAATCCGCTACAACTGGAATTTTAACTTTGCCTTCAATTTATGGTTGAGTTTGAAAGGTCCATCTTTTGTGATTCCTTTTAACTGAGGGTACCAAGCCAATTTCCCGAGGCATTTGAACAGAATCACACCTGACCCTACTATATAACGTGGGTTTTTAGGACAAACGAACTGTAAAACAGCTTCTTGGCATTTTCTGAAAAAAATGTTTGTTTTCCAAGCCAGGCCCTGGGTGTGGTTCCTTCCCTACACTTTTCTGGTCTCCTTGGGAAATTTCAAGGGCTGGAAGGGAGGATAATCCATCAGGCCTTTTCTTTGACATCACCAAGAGAACAGCAGGAACACACAGGTCGTTATGAAGGACATATGCGTCGTTTATTTTCTCTGTTGTCAGTGAAAAGCAAAATAAGATCAGGCCCTTCTTCCTCTCAGACGACGTACGCTCAGAGCCTGTCTGCCGGGTGTGCTTTACCTGAACGTGCTTGTTTTTCACAGCCCGAGTCCGTGGCTTCCTCCCCGCAGTTCAGCGACCCTCACCTGTATGTGTGGAACGTGACGGGCAACAGACTGTTGCACCGCGTGGAAGGAGTGAGGCTGAAAACGCGGCCAGCTCAATGCACAGATTTTGTCAGCATCAAAAGACAACTTGAGATGTTGGCAAGAATGAAAGTCACCCACTACAGGTTTGCTCTGGACTGGCCCTCAATCCTTCCCACTGGCAACCTGTCCATGGTTAACCGACAAGCTCTGAGGTACTACAGGTGTGTGGTCAGTGAGGGACTGAAGCTCAACATCTCCCCGATGGTCACGTTGTACTATCCGACCCACGCCCACCTAGGCCTCCCCACGCCTCTGCTGCAAAGCGGGGGATGGCTGAACCCGTCCACGGCCCAGGCCTTCCTGGACTACGCCGGGCTGTGCTTCCAGGAGCTGGGGGACCTGGTGAAGCTCTGGATCACCATCAACGAGCCCAACCGGCTGAGTGACATCTACGGGCGCACCAGTAACGACACCTACAGGGCAGCCCACAACCTGCTGATCGCCCACGCCCGGGTCTGGCACCTCTACGACGGGCAGTACAGGCCTGCGCAGCGCGGGGCCGTGTCGCTGTCCCTGCACTCGGATTGGGCGGAACCCGCCAACCCCTACGCCGACTCGCACTGGGAGGCGGCCGAGCGCTTCCTCCAGTTCGAAATCGCCTGGTTCGCAGAACCCCTCTTCAAGACCGGGGACTACCCGCGGGCCATGAAGGAGTACCTCGCCTTCAAGAACAGGCAAGGGCTCTCGCGCTCCACGCTGCCTCAGTTCACCGAGGAGGAGAGCAGGCTGGTCAAGGGCGCGGCCGACTTCTACGCCCTGAACCACTTCACCACCAGGTTCGTGATGCACGCGCGCCAGAACGGCAGCAGCTACGACGCCGACAGGGACGTCCAGTTTCTGCAGGACATCACCTGCCTGAGCTCCCCCAGCCGCCTGGCCGTGATGCCCTGGGGAGAGCGGAAGGTGCTGAGCTGGATCCAGAGGAACTACGGAGACGTGGATGTTTACATCACGGCCAGTGGCATCGATGACCAGTCTCTGGAAAATGATGAACTCCGAAAATACTACTTAGAGAAATACGTTCAGGAGGCTTTGAAAGGTGAGGTTCGGGGGCCATTTCAGATACAGCGAAGTATGACATTCCTAGCTAACATGAACAAAAGAATGAGGGGAGCAGGCTCATCAGTGACAGCGTCAGCTCATTATGGAAAATTTGGCAAGGTAGAAAAGTATTTAAAAAACAAACACCTGAAATCTCACTCCAAAACAAGCACCTAGGGCCGGCCCTGTGGCTTGGTGGTTAAGTGCGTGCGCTGCGATGCTGGCGGCCCGGGTTCGGATCCCGGGTGCGCATCGAGGCACCACTTCTCTGTCCATCCTGAGGCCGAGTCCCACATACAGCAACTAGAAGGGTGTGCAACTGCGACATACAACTATCTACTGGGGCTTTGGGGGCAAAAAAATAAATAAAATCTTAAAAAAAAAAAACAAAAAAAAAAAACAAGCACCTAGACTTGTGCTTGCTAGACATTTTTAATACAATTGAGCTCATGCTATAATAAGTCTTATATCTAACTTTTTTTTTTGGTAAGGAAGATTCGCTCTGAGCTAACGTCTATGCCAATCTTCTTCCAGTTTATGTGAGTGGCTGCCACAACATGGCTTGACAAGTGGTGTAGGTCTGCGCCAGAGATCCAAACCCCGCTGCCAAAGCAGATCGAGCTGTACTTAACCGCTAGGCCACAGGCCAGCCCTCCAATTTTTTCTTAATATCACATTATAAATGTGTTCCATGTCATTAAAAGTTCCTTTTAACGTTAATGGTTGGTTAATATCTCTTCATATGGATGTATCTCCATGTACTTAACCATTCCTGTTTGATATTTAGGTTTGTTCTTTTTTTTTTTACTAAAAAAAGTAGGTATCTTTGTATATAAATTTTTGTCTTCATTTCTGAGTATCTCCTTAGATGGACTGCCCAGTATGGAATTATGGGGCCAAATATTATAAACAGCAGTGTTTGAGAGTACTTATTTCATAAACGCTTTCCAGCATTGGCTATTATCATTTTTTTAATCTCATTTTTAAACGTTCATGATCTATTTGTTGAAGGAGCAAAAAATTTCCAGAAATTTACTCATTTGACAAATGTTTATTGAGCACCTAATATGGACAAAAACTGTTCTGGGCACTGTATCACCACTGAACGAAATAAAAATTACTGTCCTTATGGAGCCTACATTTTTGTGGGATAAGGGTCAACAAATATATAGGTAAGTAAGATACAGCATGTCAGAGGTGCAAAAGTCTATGCAGAAAAAACAGCAGAGAAGAGGGTTGCCCAGGGGTGGGGGATAGGAGAGTGGTTACAATTCTATTATAGAGTGGTTAGGGAAGTCTTCAAAGATCTAGAGAAGTGAGGCAGCAAACCTGTGCAGTTACCTAAAAAGAGTGTTCCAGATGAGAGAATAGCAAATGCAAAAACCCTAATGGAGCAAGCCTGTCCTGTTTGAGGTTTAGGAAGGAGGTAAGAGTGGTTAGAGAAGAATGAGCAAGGGAGAAAGTAATAGAAGATGAGATCAAGTAGTTAAGGGAAGAGGCAGATCAGGTAGGGTTTAGTAGGCCATTTAAGAACTGTGGCTCTTACTCTGAGGTAGGAAGGTTCTGGAAGGTTTTAAACAGAAGGGTGACATGATCTAACTTACACTTTAAAAGAATCACTCTGGCTACTCTTTCATGAATACAGTGTAAAGAAGCAAGAACAAAAACTGAGTTCCACTAGTCTAGGTAAGAGATTGTGGTGGATTGGATCAGGTTATTAAGAGTGGAGATGGTGAGAAGTGGCTAGATTCTGGATGTATTTTGAAGGTAAAGTCAACAGGATTGGATGTGGGGTGTGAGAGAAAAGAGTGAAAAATGATCCCAAATTTTGGCTTGAGTAACTGTAAGGATGAGTGGCCATTTACCAGGTTGGGGGAGACTGGTACGAACACGTGTTTGGAGATGAGTTGTTTGGTGTTGCACAGGTTAAGTTTGAGATGTCTATTAGATGTCCAATTAGAGATGTCAAGTAGCCTAATGGATATGAGTCTCAAGTTCACAGAGGAGAGGTATGGGGCTGAGATACAAATTTGGGAGTCAAGAGCAAATGGATGGTATTTAATAAGCCTGGATGAGATCCCTAAGGGAGCAAGCACAGAGAACAGGGCTGAGCCCTGGGACACTTCAATACTCAGAGGTCAGAGAGATGAGAAACCAGTAAAAAAAGACTGCACAGGAGCCAGTGCTTTAAAAGATAAATAGGGCCGGCCCCGTGGCTTAGCGGTTAAGCGCGCACGCTCCGCTGCTGGCGGCCTGGGTTCGGATCCCGGGCGCGCACCAATGCACCGCTGCTCCGGCCATGCTGAGGCCGTGTCCCACATACAGCAACTAGAAGGATGTGCAGCTATGACATACAACTATCTACTGGGGCTTTGGGGGAAAAAAAATAAAATCTTTAAAGGATAAATAGAAGAGGATGTGCAATTAAGGGAGGTTGCTGTTTTTGCTTATTAAGATACCAGAAGTTACACGTTTACATGGAAATGATCCGATAGTGAGGGAAAATTAAGACACGAGAAAAGAGAGGCGAGAACAGATGGAGCAATGTCCTTGAGTGGGCAAGAGAGAATAAACTTAGTGTATAAGTGGAGGAATCATCCACAGTAACAGGAAAGAAGGCGGAATATAGGAGCGCAGATACAGCAGGTAGGTAGATGTTATTGTGGGAGATTCAAGAAGTTTCCCTCTGAGTGCTTCAGTTTTTCACTGAAGTAGGCAGGAAGGTCATCACTTCAAAGCAAGAATGACAGAGGAGGTGCTGTAAGTTTGAGGACAGAGAGGTGTGAAACAGTCCAGTAGGAGAGTGAGAATGAGTGACCAGCGGAAACCAAGTGTGGTTGTTGGGCAGCACCAAGGGCACATTTAACGTTTGGAATCCCGCCAGACAGGCAAGATTTTTCTGCTTATGACCCTACAAACAAAATTGATAAGTCCTTTTACCTTAATGGCTCCAATTCTTAAATCTGCTTTTCCCACAAGGCATTTTTGCATTATTTATGGATCAAAGTTTTTCTTCAAATTTCTTTTTAAATAAAATTATTATTACACATATTTTCACTTTCTGCTTTATATCAGTCATAAAAGAGTGTCCAAAAATCCTTTAATGAAAATCACCACCTTTTTTTATGGGCATGAGTTTAGCTTGTTTCAATGAAAACTAAATGCTTATTCAAAGATATTTTATAGGTCCGGCCCCGTGGCTTAGCGGTTAAGTGCACGCGCTCTGCTGCTGGCAGCCCGGGTTCGGATCCCGGGCACGCACCGATGTACCGCTTCTCCGGCCATGCTGAGGCCGCGTCCCACGTACAGCAACTAGAAGGATGTGCCCCTATGACATACAACTATCTACTGGGGCTTGGGGGGGGGGGAAATTAAAAAAAAAAGATATTTTATAGTCCATTTGTGATTAATAATGTCCATTTCTGGTATTTTTCAGCATACCTTATTGACAAAGTCAAAATCAAAGGCTATTACGCATTCAAATTGACTGAAGAAAAATCTAAACCCAGATTTGGATTCTTCACATCTGATTTCAAAGCTAAATCCTCAATTCAGTTTTACAACAAACTGGTCAGCAACAGTGGCTTCCCGTCTGAGAACAGCAGTCCTAGATGCAATCAGACTCAAAGGAACACAGAATGCATTGCCTGCTTATTTCTTGTGCAGAAGAAACCACTGATATTCTTCGGTTGTTGCTTCTTCTCCACGCTGGTTCTACTTCTATCAATTACCATTTTTCATAAGCGAAAGAGAAGAAAATTTTGGAAAGCAAAGAACTTACAACACATACCATTAAAAAATGGCCATAAGAGAGTTCTTAGCTAAACTGATCCTATTTCTGTCTGCACAATACAAAGTTTAAAAATTCACTCCAGTTCCATATACTGGTAACACAGAAGATATACTTATATTGTAGAAAGAAGACAATTTGAGATATTAATGGTAGCCATGGTAATGACAATCAATGTCTCTGCTGTGTGATTCAAATGAATTTTCCCTTAGGTGTTGACGTCGTGAATTCAGTTCTTGGATCTGAAGATAGGGCTTCATTTAGACAGTAAGCTACGAGGATTATCTGACACATTGCTACATTAAGTTTGATGAGCTGTTTTCCATCATTCTTCTCTTGCTTTGTTCTATAAATATCAATAGCAACACTTAGGATAAATGAAATTGTTTTGAAAAAGTGCTACTTTGTTTTGTTAGACTCCATAGTAGAGATTTAAAACTCTTAACACTGGATAGTCAGTGATATGTTCTGTCACTTCTAACAAGGTGCTTTACTTCAGGGTGGTTCTCAAATGGAAAGAAAAAACACAATAGGGTAAGTAGTGCTTGTCTATAGCCAGTTACAGCATAGACTCTTAAGCACATCAATCCCTTAGTTTTTCTCAATAGAAATAAAAGTTATCAAGTATTCATAAAACGTCTAATTTGTGAGGTTTCTCCTTTTATCAGATCTTATTTAAAAAAAAATAATATGTAACTTCCATAACTAATCTCACGAAAAGATCAGAGGACTAAGATTAAAGAGAGCTGGACCAAACTGCCTATGAAGACAGGGAAGTCACACAACCTCACGGTACAGCAACTTCCTCTTAAGACAAATCGTCATCATTCTTTCTCACTTGATTTTTGTGAGGTGACCAACAAGATCTAGCATACTTAGGAAAGCTAAACATTCTAAAAAGATGTGAAGTTTTTTTTTTTGTTTTGGTTTTTTTTTTTTTAAAGATTTTATTTATTTATTTTTCCCCCAAAGCCCCAGTACATAGTTGTCTGTCATAGCTGCACATTCTTCTAGTTGCTGTATGTGGGACACGGCCTCAGCATGGCTGGAGTGGTGCCTCGGTGCGCACCCGGGATCCGAACCCGGGCCGCCAGCAGCGGAGCGCACGCACTTAACCACTAAGCCACGGGGCCGGCCCAGAAGTTTTATTATCAAGTCCTCAAAGGACCATATTATTTCATAAGACTTGCCCTCTCCTGAGGAGCTGCACTGTTCTGACACCACACACACGTAGGGACCTCTCGAGGTGTAGAATGCAGCCATAATATCTGAACCTAGAAACTGTGACTCGTCAGATGCAATTCAGAATGCTGATGGTCTGAAAGAGTTAAAACTGTTTTTACACTGCACCTTTTGAAGCTGGGATTAAGAAAATTCTTAAATCTGAATTTGGAGAGTTGGACTTTCTTGAACTCTGTGCTTAAGATTTGTTCAGTGTATTCTAAACACTGGAGGAAGAAAACTGAAATGTAAACTCATGTATACCCATTCTTTCTTTTGGTTAGCCAACATTTAAGTAACCACTCACTCCACACAGTAGCTAGTCACTGTCCACACTCTCCAGGAATTCACTCTTAAGAGACAAAGGAAAGCTCTTCTGCTCAAAAAGCCCTGATAGGCAACTACCCTAAATTAAGGCAATTGTGATTGTTTTCCAGGTCCACCTATGTCAGAAGCCAAATTTGGTACATAACTGAGATTCCAATTGATAATGAATGGCGACAAATTTCAAAGATACTGTAAAGAGATGATACAATTGATCAATTCAAGTAAATACAAGTGATGGGAAATCAACTTGCTATTTGGCTGGCCAAATTCAAGTAGTAAAATTTTGCTTATGTTTCTTTTCTTAGTCTATTCTCCTTGCCCCACTGCACCCACTCCTCCAACCTTGGCAGTTTTTAGGTCATGCTTTACCAGGAATTTTTGCTATTTTCTTTGAGAACCCACTAAGTGGGCCCGAGGCTACACACAATTACAAGAACTGGTCAATTAATATGTTAACTATGGGGAGACTGTCATTTAAAAGAATTACTTGGCTGGGTTTTTTTCTCCTTTGTGCCACATGGATTCACTCTGACCCCAGAGCTCCAGTCAATATTCTTATAGGAAGTTATCAGTTGAGCAACTCATCAATTTTTTAACCTCTCTGTAACATCCAAGGTTTTGAAAAAGAAATGTATATTCAGCCATAGGAATAACAAAGATTTGGAATTACACTTAAGTTTTGCTTTTCTGGTCTCTAAACACTTTGTGCTCTTTGATTAAACTATCCTGTATTCATGGTTTACTAATTCATTAATCTTCACTATTTTGTCTTTACATTTAGAGCTTAAGCTTAAAACTTATGTCCTCCTTTTTCGAACTTGACTTGCTATAAACTCCCAAGTCCCTAACCCAATGCTTCCAGTCCTCCTTTTCTGCCACTTATGAATTATTTTTCTAGTTTTTAAGCCATCATCATACAATTATCTTTAGGTAAATATTTAATCTGGCTCATGATAAATTATACTATCCAGGTTTATCCTAAACTCATTTAAAAATCATAAAGGGCCAATTAGAAACTGTTGTTAGCTTTTGACAGGATAAGATCTTTAAAATTTAAGCTTTTCTGAGATGTTGGGAAAAAAATCATCTTAAAATCTAACTTGTGTTAGCTTGTGTATTCGTGTTACATTTTGTGTATTCAATATAACTGTCTTTCACTAACAAGTCTTTGATATTTATGGAAATATTACATTAACTATGGTGTTTAAAAAGCCTCTGGAAAGTGAGTTCAGTACATTGTGACTAAATGTTTAATTCTTAATGTAATTTATTCCAAATAAACTAGTTTATGCTGATTATTTATATTCAACTAACAATCTGGTCAATTCTAAGAACTGTGGAATATGAATGGGTTTGGTGTTGTAACTGGGTTCTGCCCCAACCCCAACGCTGCCTCCTCCACCCTGTGTGACAACTGGTAACTTACTTCCAAGTATGTTTCCTCATTATAAAATATAGACACCTACACCTCAAAATTGGGAAAATAACATACGAGTGCTTATCCACAGTAGACACAGAAGACTTCTATGGGAAGTCTTCCCTGGGAGAGCAAGCCTTTCATTTACCACATGCAAGTTACTAAATGGAAATCACTCCTTAGCTACAGCCAGCCACCCATAGACATCCTGTGAAGGTCTCACCCAGCATACCAAACCACTTCACACTTGGAGAAATCCTTTACCCCCACAGCTGTTACTATCACCTATATACTTGATGCTTTCAATATTAGCACTTCTATCTTGTAATATTACCCCTTGGAAATTTCCTCAACTCTCAAATTCAGTTTTGAAATCCTTAACACCTTCCAAAACATCTCTGAGTCTGTATAACAAATCTCCCTGGCAACGTGGGTACCATTCACCCAGCATATAGCTATGCACAAGGAACTGTCCCAGGTACTTGGAATATACCAGGCTAGAAAAGAAAGATCATATTCTCACAAAGGTCACACTGTAGCAAGAAAAAAAAGCATACAATCAATACACGACAAAGTAAACTATAACTACACTATGCTATGGACAAAAACAAGTGGAGCAGGGTGAGGATATGAGACAATGGGGTGTGGAGTGAGCACAATTAACAGGGTGGTCAAGGCAGGCACCACTGCAATCGTTTGACTATAGACTTGAAGTTGCCATCCAAAGGGAAAGACAACTTACAAGTTTTAAGGCAGCAGTATTCAGAACAGGTGGGTCAGTTCAGCCACAGTGTAGTCAGAAAGGTTAAGAGAGTGGCAAGTTTGAAAAAAGCATTCTGGCTGCTGCTGAAAACAGATGGCAGGGAGCAAAGGCAACCAGTTAAAAGGCTATTATTACACTAATCCAGGCGAAATACACAGGGTTTTTTGTTTCATTTTCTACATTATAAAAAATTTCAAAACTTCAAGTAGGAATAGTATAATGAATCCCCATTGTTCAGCTTCAACAAGTATTTATTTATAGGTAACTTGTTTCACCTAGAATCCCACCCAGTGCCTACGCCAACTCTACTTCAGATATTTTAAAGCAAATCCTAGATTATTTCATCCATTTCTTAAACTTAACCATTAATCATCAATCCAAAGACTAACTTCTGAATATAAAACTCAGTTCATTCATTTAAATCAAGATCTCAATAAGATCCATAATATCAAATGCTTTCAATTTTTCTTGCTTAATTTTTCTGTTCAAGTCCTTGAACGTACCTTACTTTGAAAGCAGAGCTCAGACTTTTCTGATGGATTAGATGTGTAGTGTTAAGAGAAATCAAGGTTGAATGTTATGTTTTGCCTGAGAAATCAGAAGGTTGGCGTTTCCATCAAATGAGATGAGGAAGACTACAAGTAGAGGTTTGGGGGCAACCATGTTGAGTTAAATAGTCTAATGTGGTAACATATTTAGATGTGACACATGGAATTAAGAGATTATGGGAGGGTTATCAGTTTTTAAAAATATCAAGGACTAGAATATGGGAGTAAGTGGCTGAGGCAGAACAGGGTAAGACTGAGAGGACCCTGGCCCACGGCAACCATGTTTATTATATAAACACAAATTAACTTCATCTTCCAACTCTTACTACGGCTGTATTACTGTTCCACTTTTCAGCTACTTTTTCACAAAAAAGTTACTCGTATACAAACAAGTGAGTCAGACACACCTGCCTCACAAATATTCAAATTCATTGCCTCTGCAAAATTACACCTTCAGGACACTCCCCAAAGTTCTACATCCAATGACCAACAGCCATAGTGCTGTTGCCTGTCCCTGGTACCATGTTACTCTTGCCTGAAACACCCTTGATATTCTCTCAAAAACCAGGTTCAAGTCACTTCTCCCACAAAGTTTTACTACACAAAACTCCTGTTCTGTTCTTTCCATTATGGTTCTTAGCACACTAGAATTTAACTGTTTACTCGCCAAATATTTGGAAAGAATAATCAGTTTACGAAAAAGTCCCAAATCAGTACATAGCTTTTATTGCGTCTTTAAAATATCACAAATAAGTCTGAGGAATCATCCGGCATCTTGCTGTTTCTGTAGCTGGACAACTGTAAAAAGAAATGAAAATGTCTGTAAATCTCCATTAACACTGTTGCCCAGAAAAGTTCTAAATAATCTAAAACATACTTTACAATTAAGACTTAGGGGTTCAGGGGCCGGCCCCGTGACACAGTGGTTAAGTGCACGCGCTTCACTGCTGGCAGCCCGGGTTCAGATCCTGGGCGCACACTGATGCACCGCCTGTCAAGCCATGCTGTGGCAGCGTCCCATATAAAGTGGAGGAAGATGGGCACGGATGTTAGCCCAGGACCAGTCTTCCTCAGCAAAAAGAGGAGGATTGGCATG